GAGGGCAGAAGGCAGGGTTTGGTCAGGCGCTGGGAGGGCGAGGAGATGGGAATTTGATTAAACTGAACCCTATTCACCCGACCCCTTGCGGGCCTCCCCTTCAAATCCTTGTAACTCCTTCCCACTGATCTACGACGTCATTCTTAGGGTCTGGCTGGTTCCTTCTTGTGACAAGGGGCCACACACCCTGCTAACTTTCTGGGAGGATGGGATTCAAGGAAACAGAACATTCCTTCTTCTAGCAGGGCGTGTGAGGAATGAGTTGATACCTGGTTGCCCCAACTCCTGCCTTCCCAGGACAGGGAGGGTGTTTTGCCCAGGACAAGGGTTAAACAACTTACTCTGGCATAGAAGGACACAGGCTCCAGGAGGCCAGAACAGAACATTTAATGGAATAGCTACACAGGATCAGGACTACACCAGCCAACCTCAGCTTGTCTCTGCCCTCACAGCCTCACTCCCCACTCGAGGTGTTCATTTGAGCCTTGTCGAGATGGACCAAAAAATATCTGCTTCCCTGTCTCCACCCGCCCCCTCCAGAAAAGGTAATGTTTCTCCACCTGCTTTCCTCCTCTCCTCCTCCAACAGACAGGACTAAAGATGTCTAGTCTATGGCTAGTCCAAATGGGGAACTTGGGGCTCAGGGACTCCGAGCACTGGTTGGACTTAAAAGGGGTATCTAAATTAGGACTGGGTGCTGAGCATTCACAAGGCTCCTGTAGATTCCACAGGACTTGTTATGGACTGCCAGGGTGGGAGTTGGAGCATCTAACTTGGCTTTCTTGAGGGCAGCTTCTTTTTCAGCATCTCTTGAGCACACTTCTCAACCCTAACCCCAACACACACACACATACACACACACATATACACACACCCGCGAGTCTGTGCCTGCTGCCTGAGACCCAGGCTCTTAGCCTGCCAGGGCTCAGGGAAGAAAATGGGGAAGGGGTAAAGTGGGTTCCAGGGTACAATCCAAGGCCAGAGACCTGAACACAGTGGAAAGAACACTGCCCCGGGTGGGTCTGGCTTGGGGTAGGAGTTGGGGAGGGTCAGGGAAAGGGGTCAAGGATCAAGGCCCAGGGTCCCAGAGAAGGGGGCTGCCCCTGGGGGCAGAAACCCTTGCATAGGTCCCAGAGTGTTTCCTGTGCCAGCAGGGCGAAGACCTGGGCCCAGCGACCTCTTTCCTCAGCCTCACTAGCCTTATGGAGCCGGTAGACACAGGACAGGCTTGTGAGGAGCAGGTGTTCAAAGTCCCAAGGGCTAAGAGGAGGCCCTTTCCGCAGGTCCTGGAACTGCTGCAGCCGCTGCTTAGCACCCTCCAAGTCACTGGGCACGTGGTGCTGCAGGAGGAGCCTGAGTCGGCGGCCTGGGCGTGTGGACGCCAGTTCCTCGTCCTGGATGTGCAGCTGCCCTATGACATCCAGCTCCAGCCCAGCCCAAAGCAGCTGTAAGGGGAGCCGTGTAAGGGGTGGGCTGGGGCCTGGGGGTGGGGGCAGGGCAGGGAGCAAGAGTGGGCTAGGGGGGCATAAGCAGGCAGTAGGACCCATGCTGGGTGGCCCCCCTCCCCCAGCAGGCCCAGCTTAAGACATCCCCCTTCCCAACCCTGAGCTTAGGGACCTCTGGACATTCCCACCCCCATATCCCAGGCTGGAGGAAAGACCTCAAACATCACTTCCGGGGCCTCTGGCTCCTGCAGGCCACCTCCCACGCTGGCTCTGTTCATGGGCTGCCCTGGGGCAGCAGAAAAGAGTCAGGCCCCTGCCAGGCTCCACCCTGAACACCCCAGCCTCCCAGAAGTGCCCCTTAGCTCCTTGGTAGGGATGCCAAGAGGTTCTTCTATCTACAAAAGAGTAGGAGTGCCACCCCATGTCCTCCTTTCCTTACAGACACATGCACATTGACATCCTCCCTCCCAGGCATAAGTCTTGTGATCCCAAAATCATCATCCCAAACCCAGATACCACCTCGGCAAGTGTCCAGGACTCCTCCTTGAACTTCTGCAGTTCCCTTGGCAAAGAGCTCCAGACCATTGGGTCACAAGACACTTCACTTCCCACTTCCCCTCCCTGTAATCATCTGGGACAGTGTGATCTAAAATAGTGCCAGTGACTCTCCCCAAAGGTCGAGGACCCCTTTTGGAGGAACCTGCTCCTTCCTTGCTCCTCAGTAGTGCTCATGTGGAGGCCAGGGAAGCCAGGCCAAGGCGGGTTGTCTGCTGCAGCTTCCTTCATTTCACTCTGGTCTGCTGCCCAGCCCTTAGAATGATTGTCCCAAGCCCAGGGCAGGTCCGGAGGTCCTGCTTTGCACACCTAGAATAAGGCCACTGCCCAGCTCTGTCCAGGGCTGGCACTGAGGGCACCTAGGACTACCTCCCTTCATTTCACTTGGACCTTTCTGATGCTGGGGTTGGGGCCCAGACCATTACCACGTGCTGCACTGGTCAGTCTGGTACCCACCTTGCCCACAGTTTCTAGGCCCTGCTAGGTTCAGATAGAACCAAATTTAAGTGCTGTCAGCCGACAGCCTTCCTTGGTTCCCATCCACCCCACCCTAAAGCCCCGGTACCTGGATAGTGCTGGGTTGTAGTTACCCCAGGGAGAAGGCAAGTGGCTACTATTAGCCAATCCAGGAACTGCATCGTCCCAGCTGTGCCCCACCACGTCCTTTGAGTCTTTCTCTCCCCAGCTGCTCTCTGCTCCTGCATCCGCCTGCCACACACCGCAGCTCCAACTTTCCACTGCAGGCGGCTCAGGCGTTTCCTATTTTGTGTGTCAGCCTTCAATGCTAAACAGGGAGGGGCTGGCTCTGACTTCCCAGGACCTTTCCATCCCATGGAAAAGTGGAATCTTAAGTTGTTGGCAGTAGAAGCCTGGCTCCCTGCTTGTCAAGCCCTCAGCCTGTTCCTGCCCAGATGGGCGGGATGCTTAGTTAATAGAAAACGGAGCTTGGTAGCAAACAGCTCCAGCTTGCCCCACCCTTCCCCCCACCCCCCAAGAGGTAGGAAAGAGCCCAGCAGTAACGCTACCTTACTATCTGTCCTCACCCCCAAAACATCCTGCAGCTGAACTCAGGCTTCAACACCCAGTCAGGCCCAGCCCAGCCTCCAGGGAGCCCCTCAGCAGCCAAAAGCATCAGCTGCAAAGCTTGGTCCTGCAACTGCATTGGTCCTCCAATGGCATGGTGAGCTGTTTGGGTGGTCTCATGGACAGGCAGAGTCGAGCGCTTCCAACTTAGGTGCTCAGCCGCCAGCCAAACAGGCCCCAGGCTGGCTGGGGTAGGGAGTCCTGTCCGCTGGAAGATAGAGCTGCAGCTTCCGAGTACATTCTGCACCAGTCCTGGGACCTCTTTTGCTTGCTTACAACATTCTCAGCTCTGGCTAGAGTCTAGGAAGATTACCTTAGCCCAAACATGATGGGCCGTTAGATTGCAAGGAGGTTTCATGGCTCAAGACTCAAAAATGAGTCATGGCTCATGGAACCCTGTGGATGCTTAGATGAGATGGGGGCGGGGGGGTTCCCTGGTTCCACCCAGGCCCCTCCATCCATCACCTGCCACCAGACGGTCAGCTGTAACAAGGAGTTTTCTCCTCTAGTTGTTAAGGGCCCTCCAGTTTTTAAATTTTTTTTTTTCAACGTTTATTTATTTTTGGGACAGAGAGAGACAGAGCATGAACGGGCGAGGGGCAGAGAGAGAGGGAGACACAGAATCGGAAACAGGCTCCAGGCTCTGAGCCATCAGCCCAGAGCCCGACGCGGGGCTCGAACTCACGGACCGCGAGATCGCGACCTGGCTGAAGTCGGACGCTCAACCGACTGCGCCACCCAGGCGCCCCAAGGGCCCTCCAGTTTTTAGGAAATGCCATGCCACACCCATCCTAAGCCCTGTGGACCATGAGAACTTTCCATTTCAGCTCCAGAACCCTCCCTCAGAAGTACATCCAGGCTTGCAGGTCACCATGACTGCAACTGCACTATTCAGTCCCATTAAAAGAGACTCCTGGTTTGGCAGAGTCTCTTTAAGGGAGAGGGAAAAACCCCTGCTGAATCTTCCCTTTCCCGAGTCAAGCTTCACTTCTACCCAAAAGCACACAAGAAGTGGTTAGTCTAAGGATTTTATTTACAGGGACGCTTAGTATAGATTAAGGCGTTTTCCAGTATCCACATGCCTTCCCTGGAGCTACTTGGTTTCAGGTTTCTTGTCCCCAGCTTCGAGCTTGAGACTTTCAGGGGGCTGCCGATAGGCAGGGAAAGCCTCCCAAGGGCTGTTCAGGTCAAACTTGCGGAACTCCTGGGCCAACTCCACTGGCTCAGCCACCACCCGCTTCACCTCATCGTCATAGCGTAACTGCAGAAGAGAAAAGCAGGCTTAAGCACTGAGGAAGACCTTGTTCAGAGCTGCTAAGGAGCCTACTTTCCCAAGGCTATGGGGGACTTCACCAGACTCTTTACTTCCCTGTCCTTGACTGCTATCCCAGCCTCTGTCAACAAGTCTCCAGGCATGTGTGTATTACCAATCAAGTCCCATCCCAACCACAATCCAAAACGGCCTGCAATCACCCAGTCAGGCTCCCCTGCTCACCATCCCCACATCATAAGCTCTGAGCTGCTTTTGCAGCACAACTGACTTTGCTCACCCATCCACTCTTATAAGGAAATGCTTATAAGCATTTGTTGGGGATTAGGGAGCAAGTCTGTGGCTGAAAAGAGTAAACCTAAATGGCAAGCACTCAAGTTCAGACCATGTGGCTTTGGCACTATCACTATAAAGATGCAAGGCAATAAATCTGGCATAGCTTTTCTTTTCTGTTTTGTTGTTGTTGTTTATTCATTTTCAAGAGAGAGAGAGCGAGCGAGAAAGAGAGAAAAAGAAAGACAGAGAGAGAGAGAGAGAGAGAGAGAATGAGTGGGGGAGGGGCAGAGAGGAAGGAGAAACAGAATCTGAAGCAGGATCCAGGCTCTGAGCTGTCAGCACAGAGCCTGATGCAGGGCTAAACCCATGAACCGTGAGATTGTGACCTGAGTTGAAGTTGGACACTCAACCGACTGAGCGACCCAGGCACTGCTGGCATGGCTTTTCTTGTCTGGAGGATCAGCTGGATAAAGTACAGACAAACAGGTGAAGAGGCAAAGCAGGTAAGGGAGGCCAGACAGTGAAAATGAGGAGAGGGAAGGAGTCCTGACCAGAAGTAGCTTGAGAAGGAGATGGGACCATGCAAAACATGAAGAAAGCAGGCACATGTCGGTACAGAAGGGGGGATTGCCACTATCTCAGCATTTCTAAAAAGTTACTTTTCTACAAAATGACACATATGTTTGTATGCAATGGACCATCTTCCTGCTCATAAACAACCTGTAGCACAAGGGTGGTAAAGCAAAGCACTGAAATTCTTCGTAAGGCCCTTGTAGTCACATGTTACTAGTCCTGCCTTTAACCATCCTCAGGGGCTAAACATTTAGTGTCTTCCCTGTCAGCTGCCTTCTCAGAGATCCAGGGCAGGGTAAAATGATCCTCCACTTTCAGACCTGTGGACAAAGTGTGTCCTCAAGGTTGCCTTGGTATTAAAATGATCGTTAACGATAATGGCTAATGTCAATTGAGTAATTACAATACACTAGGCTTTAACATCATTTAGCTCAATGTAAATCTTTTAAGTAGATTTTTATTTATTATTATTATTTTTTAAATTTATTCATTTATTTTTGAGAGAGAGACAGAGCACACTTGAGTGAGGGGCAGAAACAGGGAGAGAGAGAATACCACGAGGTGCAGAGAGAGAGAGAGAGAGAGAGAGAGAGACACAGTGGAGCTCAAAGCAGGGCTTGAGCTCACCTGAAGCAGGGGCTCAAGCTCACAAACTGCAAGATCATGACCTGAGCCCAAGCTGGATGCCTCACGGCTGAGCCACCCAGGCACCCCTAGCTCACTGTAAATCTTATTAGTTAAGTATTACTGTTCCTGTTTTGCAGATGAGAAAACTGTCATAGATAAATTAAGTAACAGACCCCAGATTACAAAACTGGGACTAGGATTTGATACAGAGCCTATGCTCTTAAATCACCACAATTCACAGACCATATTTCCTGCCATGCTCAGCACACCCCAGGTTCCCTGCCAGTCTTTCCCTGAGGCCATTTGCCCTAGTTCAAGGTTCCTCCTACCTCAACGTAGCCAGATAGGGGAAAGTCTTTCCGGAAAGGATGTCCCTCAAAGCCATAGTCTGTCAGGATCCTCCTTAGATCAGGATGGTTAGCAAAAAAAACTCCAAACATGTCCCAGATCTAGAAAAAAAAGGCCCTCAGGCAACTCAGTCCATCAGCCAACACACGAGTGAGGATGCACTGCATGCAGTTATTTCAACTAATTCTGCAACTCTGGCCCAGAGGCAGGATCCACTATGTCCAGAAACTCACCTCCCTCTCATACCAGTTAGCTGCCTTATACACAGGAACAGTGGACTCAATGGGTGTCAGCTCATCTGTGTAGGTCTTCACACGGATCCGGGAGTTGAAGCGCAGAGAGAGCAGGTTGTAAACAATCTAGAGAGAACAGAGGAGCTGGAAGACCAAGATGGCCACAGGGTCTGAGGCACGAGGTGGGTAAGGGTTCTTCTACCTGTGAACCTGCCTTCTGTCCTGAAGCTCAAAATCCTCAAGATTCTTATATTTACAACTACTTCCAAAGGCCTAAGCTATGCTACACCTTAGGATGTCAGCATGCCTGTCTTTGCTCATGCTACTCCTGGCCCCAATCCTTAGCAAGCTAATTCCTGATCTCTTGGTCATCCGTTAAGATTCAGCACATTCTCTCTCCCTTCAAAGAAGCCTCCCATACAGGACTCTGAGAGCCCTTCTTGCAGTCTCATAACATCTAACATCCCATGCATTATATGTTATTACAGTAAGCTCTTTATGTGTCCTTCACCCTCACTAGAGCGTGGGGGACTCCTTGAGGGCAGGTGTTGGGTGCTACTTCTCCCTTGATCCCAGGATCTGGCCGATAGTAGATGATCAGTAAATATCAACAGCTAAATATATGGAGAACTTGCTCCATGCTGGCAATCTACCTGTACGATCTCATTTCATCCTCACAGCCACTCTATATAAAGTAGGGAGAGTTTCACATATATTTTGCACATAAGAAATCTAAAGCTTACAAAAACTAAACAAAATGCCTGAAGTCACATAGCCTGTTAGTGGCAGAGCTAGGATTCAAACTTGAGGTCTGCCTAATCCGAGGCCCCAGTTTAACTGCTGTGTTGTATTGTTTGACCCAAACCTAAACTGAGCAGGACTATGGTTCCCGTTGGTAGCTGTCATCCTAAAACTTGTCTGTCCCTTTTCTTTCCTTTACTCCGCAAACCTTCTCAAATCTCCTGACCTCAAAACGGTTTTGCCGGGTGGGGACGTCCACTGCTGTCAAGTCAGCCAAGGATTTGAACTGTGCATTGGTGTGATCCCTGAGGAAAGTCAGCACTGGGATGACTCCGTCAGGATGGATACAGATCTCTAACTCGTTGAAGCAAGACACCTGCAGACGTGGAAAGGGAAAGGTGAGGGGAAAAAAGAGCTATTGAGAGAGCAGTTAACATTAGTAGGAGTCCTGGTTGAGGGCAGAGAAAGCAGTCCAAGTGGGATAGAAGAGTCTTTGGTTTCTTTGATACCAGGCTGCCTACTCCTACATGCCCTGAGAACACGGTTCTTTCTTGACCCATGACCAAACAACAATAGTGAATATTACCTGAACTTGTTGGACATACTTGGGCAGGATTTCAGCCACATACTCTCCAAAAGCTGAGAGCTGCTTGTGGGCCACATCATTCCGTGGTCGGACAGTGGCTGGAAGGAGAAGGCATATTTAACAAAGGAATGGAGAAGGCAGCAGCCATGCCTACATTCAGTCTCCTGGGTCTGTAAGGGGTATTGTCTCCCAGCAGGGCTCCCTGCAGAATCCTGAGGAAGGTGAGAGTGGAGGGTTTCGAGGGAATAGGAATTGATGAAAACTTAGGGAAAATGTCACCTACAGAGTCCACAAAGACTCTCCTTATTACTACTGCGTTTGGGGTGTTTGCCTCTTCTCAAAGCTACTCCCTAGTTCTTCCTTCACAATGCCTGCATTTTTGTTAAGCAGTGTGTCTCAATTCTTTTACCAGACCAGGAACTCTTTAAGGGTGGGAACGAGAATTTCTGCTTTTCTGTATCTCCTTATCACCTGGCTCACAGCAGGCTCTCCAGCTAAGAGCTGCAGGGCTGAAGAGCCCTCACAGATTAGTCAAAACCC